TTTTTTTTCTTTTGAGATAATGAAATATTACACGCCTGTTATGGCAGAAAAGTCAACATGACAGCATATATACCAAAGAAAACGAAAAATCAAAATTTGGTACTTATAATAGATGATGATAAATATACATCTAAGTAAGTAGTAAATCATAGTTGACTGCAGAAGATCATAGTTGGAGTCTTCTAAAAATAAGTAACAATAATATGGATATAATTTATTTTATTATTTTTTTTTCCCCTAAAAAATATGCACAAACACCAGCAAATTAATACTGGAAAACAGAAAAAAAAAGGGGGTAAATAAAGGTAAATAATAATACCAGAAGAGCGATCGGCGACACAAGTATCTTGAAGCATGTCTGGATCTGCTGCACATACTTTGCTGCTTGTAATAAACAACACAACAGCCCCAATTAATACTACAAAAGCTCCACAAATACGAGCAGCCATAGCCATCGTAGAAAAGGAAAAACACACAGCAAGAGATTTTAATTTGGGAAAAAAAATATCGAAAAGTGTGTAATAATGGTAGGAAAAGCCTGCTGTGAGAGAAAAAGGGTTGGATGGACAATTTATTTATAGGGAACTAAACAAGACAAACGAATAATAATAATAAAACTCTTGAGGAAGTGTTTTGCTGCGCTCTTGTGGTCCTACCCGGTTCGATTTCGGATTAATCGGTTTTTATGTGGATTCGGAAACCGGAAGATTCCTGTACCAAAAAAAAAATAATAATAATAAATTAATTAATAAAATAATGAATGGATTTTTCATATAATAAAAAGGGTTGTGTAGATAGAAGAGTCGTGCTTGTGAAAGCACGAAACATATGCCTTCGTAGACCCTAAGGGATGGGATTGTGGGGCCTTCGCGTGGTGGGGGACCCTTCGTGCTTTGCACGTGACTGTGACTGTGACCGGACAATTTACCTACCTTTTAATAATGTTTTGCTCCTAATTAATAATGGTTTAACACTTTTTTAAGAAAATATCAAAATAGCTTCAAATGTAACTAATATTTATTTATTTATTTTATTTTTTTGGTTGGTACTATAAATTACCAATAAATCTGCAACTAAAAGAGAAATACAAATATTTGTAGGCAATTCGTTGTTGTATTGCAACAAATATATTTGTTGTTATACGGGTGATTTATATATATACAA